GCAAGTCCAACAAAATAACTTTAGACATCAAGGTGAGATTACATGCACACAAAACATTTTACATACTTTTTTCCCCTACAATTTGGCTGGTGCTGACCATTCTCTGTGCTCAGAAGAACCATGATATCACATCTGCAGAGACTTTAAATCATTAAAATCTCAGAGAGCTTTCAGATGTAACCACATCACTGTCTCACAGGGTTATATTTAATTACAATGATGACCATACTCAGATATTTCTGTTACCATCTTCTAAGCAAAAACTGAGCTATGTGTATAGGTAAAAAAGTTAAAATGCCGCTGGTTTTACTTATTTCCACCAGAGGAAACCAAGGACTATGTTTAAAATATATGCCTGCAGGTAAAATCAGCTGTAAAATCACTTTCCACTTATTATCAATGTGTCATCCCAGATTGTGGATTTATTGTTAAGAGTGAGCAGCACCATTTTAATCTCCTTATTCCCATTTCCTTCAAGAGATCTCCTGAACAGTACAGACTTCCCAGGAAACATTGGTACAGTGGAACTGGTGATATCCAACAGAAAACAAACAAAACAGCAGCTCACAGAATCCTAGAATGGTTTGGGTTGAAAGGGACCTTAAGGATCATTCAGTTCCAATCATCTAGTTCTTACTCAAATTCAGAAAATCCCATTTATTTTCCATGTAACAACACTTCTCTCACTGTTCTGCCTGGGCAGAACCAACACGAAAATGTGGGAAGCAGGATATAAAATACAACAACAGCTCTTATACCTTCCCTCAATTTTTGCAAGGATCCATTTGCCAGGATTTGGTGGATTGCTGCCAGGCAAGCAGCACTCAGCAAGCACATAAGCCAAATTCCCCGCCCCATGGACCCAGGGCCACCATAACCAAGGAGAAAATCCCTTTGCTCCCCCCATCAGTTTTACATTCCTCACCACTTGCAATGGCCAGAATTCCACTAAAACTTTCCATCTGTTTTAAATCTATATTTTATTATTTAAAAATCTATATTTAAAGAGATGAGCAACTGCATTTCTCCAGAGGGAGGATTATTTATGTGAAATATCCACATGAAACTAGATGAAAGTATTTCTGCATAGGACTGAAAGTTTCCACTAAAATAGATGTGGAACACATCTAATGCTTAAACCACCAAGACAGCCCCACTTACATCACAACTTTGGGACAAAGGTATCCAACAGGCACATTCTGTGGGCTAAAAAAATTAAAAATATAACCAAACTCTCCACAGCATGCTGAGTTGCAGGGGCAGAGAGCACCAGCTGTGCCAAGGAGTCTCTCAGAGCTGCTCAAGGATAAATCTTATGCTGCTCTATCCAACAGCACAGATGACAACAGCAACAGAGAATGGCCTGGAAAGAACTTCTGAGAAGAATCTCCATTTTTTATTAGGTGTTTGTATGTAAATTGGCTTTTGAAGAGCTGCTCCTATCAGCTTCTACACTTGTGGGACATGGATGTTGCCACCTGACTCCAAGAAGGGATAGTAGGGTGAATGAATTAAGCCTTTAATTAAGTTTTCTTACAGAATACACCATCCTGTTTTCCTTTTGGTCTCCCTCCAGAAAAACAGAACAAAAACCATAAGGCAATCAATTTGGTCCTGTCATTAATGTGGTGGCAACCAGCCTTTGGAAAAGGTTATTTGTCATCACATCCTCTCCTGTGAGCTCCTTAATGCTGCTGGAGCCATGGGATGTCAAAGAAAGGCACCAGGAAAACTTCTGCCACGCAGGGGTTGGACCCAGCTAAAGAGTGTGGAGAAAACCCCCATGTGAAAGTCAGTAACTCTGTGGAGAAAGACACAGAACAGGCAGGAGACCTCCCATTCATGTGCAGATTTGATTACACTGGCCTTGGCATTCAGTTGTGTTATTGACTTTTCCTGCTGCCCTGTTCTGCTGGGGATGGGAGATGATGCAGTGAATGCAGTAGGAAAAGTTTCCACTGTCATGCCCTAAAGTTCCCAAATTCACGGGGGCAATGGATCCTGTTTTCCACCACACCAAATTTATCACTTTCACACAGCACCACACTATGTCCCATATCATTCATGTCTCCAGAGTATAAAACTAAGTTATCACTGTATTAACAGTCCCTTTCAATTTAAAAGGGTGATAACATTTTATATTTGAAATTAAACAACTGATTAATTCCACATATTTTCCTGACTGAACAATCCACTGCCCCATCTTGAAAGAATTAATCAATTCCCTAAAAAAAAAGCAGATAAAAATTGGTCATTTCTAAATGTTTACCTTAGCTTTAAGTTTTTTAAAAAAAATTTTTTTTAAATTCAAACATCCATTCTATGCATTAGCAGTACTTTGTATCATTAAACTTGAATTCAGCCTTGATCAATTAACTCATTTACACCCTACAAATAATTTCATTTGAATTAACTGCTGACAAATGCAGGGAGGAGAGAAAAGCTCAGAGATGTGGCAGAGCAGTGCTGCATTATCTTCTTGCAGCTTCAGTGGTGTATCTGCTCTTTAGGACAAGGAGTGGGGATTTAAACTGAAAGAGAATAGATATTAAGAAATAATTCTTCCCTTTTGAGGGCATGTCATCAGCATTTAAAGCAGATAATACATCAGACCTGGTAGTCTCAAATACTATATTATATTTCTATGATATTTAGTGACTATTTGCACGGGCAAGCAAGTCTCAGTGCCTTTCTCCACATTAGTAAGCATCCTTCCCATTTTCCCAAAGTTAATGTATGGATAACTGATCTCTTATGCAAAGCTGAAATAGGATTTAATGAACCTCCATTACTCAAGTTGCACATTTTCCTCAAGATGAAAAATGCCATGTACAATGTATTTTCCTGCATGTGAATAAGCCCATTAATATAGATTTCTGAACAGAGTGTTTCTACTCAGCAATTTCTGCCCTTTGGGAGGGAGAAGGAAAGGGAGAAGGGAGCAGACACTTCCCCTCACTCCCCCACACAGTCTCTGGAAAGGAACTGGATCAGCTTTGTTAGTACTTTGGATTCAGAGCTGTTCTTAGCACAGAGGCACAATTGCCTTCTGACAAATGTTTACGAAACCTTTGCTGCCAGCATTAAATCTGTTCTAATGTATTCTTCCCCGACTTGGATACGAAATAACAGAGAAAGTAATCAAAGCAATACAAATCCGGCAATACCAAAAATTGCTCTCATTTTCACACCTTGTTTGCCTCTTTGAATAATTCCCCTCCCTGAAGAAGCCCTTGTGAGGAATTAAATCTGGATGTACCACCAAGAGACATTAATCTCCAGACAGGTTCTGAAATGCAAATTCTCTTTGCTTTAGCAGCAATGCACAAGCATCAGTGAAATCACCATTCAGAGGTACAAAAAGCTGATTTGCAGCCTCAGTCAGGTACCTGAAACACAACTTGGTGTGTTATTGGTTTTCTTAGTTTTCCTGGTGTTACTTTACAAAGATTCGAGATTTAGCATTCTTTGCTGAAAAAACGTCTTAAGCAAGTCTACTTTTCCACTGTATTTCTTAGAATTTCACATTCATTTTGCCTTCTCCTACCTTTTCCTCTCAATTTCCACTATTACCCTTCCAAATTGATCCACTGAGTCTTGGATTCTCTGTGGAAACTCAAGGAGAGTTTTCTTCCAAACCTTGTCAGGAGAACTCTGCTGCTGCCCCTCTCTCTACTCAGACAATTAACAGATATCAACTGCAGACACACTTCATAAATAATTTATATAATGCTGAACAAAAGTTCATTTTTTCCTGATTAGCTCTCCTGCTCAGTCCTGAATCAGGTAAGATACATTTTTTGAGAGCTTTACTGTTGCACTGGACAAACCCAATAACTTTAGGAAAAAAACCTCAAAACAATAGAGAAATAAACAACAACCCCACCCCCTGAAAAAAAAAATAAAAAGGTGGAAAGGAAGGTTTTGATGGAATTGAAATTTTCTAATGAAAAAAAAAATCTTTTGTTAGAAAATAGCAGAAGGTTTCCAAGTGGAGTTATTTGATATCTCTGAGGCAACATGCAGCAGACACAGCTTCTCTCTTTTGCAGAAACAACCCTATCCATTCACACTGAAATACAGAGACAAAGATATGGATTTTGTAGACTAATGATCACTCAAAGAACCTTGCAAAAAGCCAACTCTCCTCACTGCAAACGTCCCCAGTAACCACTGAGTCTGCTCTGCAGCGCTTGTCTCAGAGTATGGGCTCACAGCTTCTCTTGACAACTTCACCATCATCAGACTCCCCCAGTCAACCACATCATGTCCAACTGGGAACTCCCTCCCCAGATTCCTCAAATCACATAGAAGCTATGTCTGAACCTCAGAACAAAGTCTAAGATCACAGAACAACACCAACAGTTACCATATTTTTTTTAGTATTGTGCTACATGAAACTCTGCCATTGCTTTACACATTTCAGAGTTTTTCTCCTACAATAATTGTGGTTTCCTTGCAAACAAACAAAAAAAAAAAAAAAACAAACCCAAGCTGCAATTGGACACTCAGGAGAAAAGCATAATAATTCCAGTGTGCCACCAAAACTTCAAAACACCAAAAGCTAACTGAGGTTCTGTGCTTTGAAGGTCATCCTTTCTACCAGCAGTCACCTGTATGTTCAAGGTATATCCATGGGGGAGAAGAACCTGCTTAAAAATCATTAATTCTCCACAAATAAATAATCTGATTTCTCATTTCCAGCAGCTTCAGGTCTACTCAGGTTCCAAAGTTACTGTTCAGAACCACAAATCTTTCACCACTCCCAAAACAGAACAGTGAAACTCGTGACTTCACTGCTCCCGAATTTTCTACACCCATCCCATATGAACAAAGAAAACTGCAATAAAAACCAATTTAGAAGTAAAATGGTATCCTCAGAAGTTCTGTTTAGTGATCTGCTTCCCTCTTCCCCTCCAAAGCCTAAACCAAAAGTAACAATTAAATAAAACCAGGGAAAGTTTTGTAAACAGATTGCAACCAAAAGGAAAAATTCTTACCTTGAAGCATCAAAGCTGTCATAGGATCCAACAGTGTAGTGTCTAAACAGCTTCTTTGTTCTATCTGCTCGTGTTTCTGCACAGAGAAAAAAGAATTTTCAATACTTCTGCATTTCTTAATATTCCCACACAGTGAATAAATCTAGTTTCAAGGCATTTTGGAAAAAAATGTTGGCTTTGGAGATATTCTTTTATGGCATCAGACACATCAAGTGAATAAGGAGAACTTCCTGGAGATCATGAATCACACCAGTCACAAGTTTTAAAAGTTACACTCACATTCTCAGTGGCAAAAACTTTTGTGTCTAATATTTGGGTCTTTTATAGCTAAGAGGCAAAATAGAAGAAGAAAGAAAGAAGAAAAAAATCTGCAATAGATATGCAGAAATCTGAAAGGTTGGGAAAATAGCCAGAATATGCAAATCAATATTTTTTTGCCTAACTACAGGCTAGTCCTCCAGTGAAATCACCTTTGGTTTGGCTAAGATACATCAAAAATCAGATGGAAAAGTTTCCAGTTTAGATTATAACCATCAAAGTTTCATCTACACAGCTGAGGGACTCTCCATGGAAGGACAGCCTGACACAACCCCAGCAGATTTTATTGATTCTCCAAGCCAGCCAGAGCCCCCAAGGCACAGCACCTCTGTGGCACAGCTTTTAAGGATGGTACAAATGGCTGAGAGATTGGTGCTGTCAAATGACCAAGGGCAAGCCTGAAGAGAGAAAAAGAACATCAGAGCAGGATGGAAGGGCTTTGAACACAGCCAAGGAGCAGCAGAAAGTCCTGGGAGGCAGATCTTGGGAGGAAAGGTGGGAAAAATGCCTATTTCCATGCTTTAACCAGTGCAGCTAACGTGTAACTGGATCATGCCCCCAGCTGGAGGCATAAATACAAATACATCCATAATACAGAGCAATTCCAGCTGGAAATGTACATGACAGTTGCAGCTGGCTAAAAGAGTAAGAAAGTTGTTTCTTCAGAGCTGTGCACCAACTGGCAAGTGCCAAGAAAAGCAGTACTAGGAAAAACCAAAAATACTTACATTTATATATGTTATGTGGAGACCAGCCAGCCCCCATCCTACAGGATGGCCAGAAAGGGAGAAAATTCCCATTATAATATGAACTCTACTTGATAGCTTAGTTTATTTTGTCCCTTTGTCACTCACCTACAACCTGTATTTTCTGCCTAAAAGGCCTTTCCTTTACCACCAATTCCTGCTCCTACTGCACAAATTGCAGTCTGTTCCCCATCGAGCAACATTCTTTTTTCATGCCACTCTAAAAATCAGGTTCATACCAAGAGACAAACAGAAGAAACACAGAAAATCATAAACCTGGAGTCCACTTTGAGTTTCCCCTGGCCTGTTCTCAGAAGTCCCTCAGAAATTATTACAAGAAATAAATTATGATAAAAACATTTTGAAATCTTAAAGCAACTGCTTGAGCCTTAAGGAGCCAGATGTTCCCCCTGCAGGATCTGTTTTCTATAGCATGATATTTCATTGCTATAAGGAATACAAAGTGGGTGGGAGGGATGGGAAGGCACAGCAAGACAGAGAGCTTTGTTCAGCTCCTCAGGACTGCAGAGCCAGCACTCTTCAGATGCAGCTTAGGTCTGCTCCCCTCTGTTTCCCCCCACTCCTCTGGGTGCAGTCAGGGATTATTTGGGAAAACAGAAGCCTTGCACGGTGCTGAACTCGAGGCTTAGTGGCAGTTTCCCAGGCTGCTGTGTTAAGCTCCCTAATTACCCTCTATTCCCTCACCTCACACACATTCCAGGCTGCCCTATTACACAGCACAAGTACAGACACTCAGGAGCAGGGGGGGAGGACCAGGAATCTGCCATCAGAATGAACTGGGGACTGAAAAATGAAAAGGATTCCATTCTCTGACTTGACAAAAGAACACAAAGAACCCATAGGTGAATGCCTAACAAATGATGTTCTGAATTCAAGCCAAATATAGCACAGGAACACAGTTATAGATATATTTGCACCAAGGGGTTAGCTCCAGGTTTCCCTGGATTTGTACCCATTCTTGTGTCCCAGGTTTTCTTAAGACCAGAACTCTTTATCAAAATGCTTTGCAGCAAGTTAGGACCACCTAGCACTGACAACCCCATCATTATTTAACAAGCTTTTACCCACAGAATCTTTTGAGGATTTCTTCTTAAGCTTGGTTGCAGACAGATTAGAAAGATCAGCAAGAAGATATGGACATGAAGGTGTAGAAACACATAATTGTCTTTATTAAAATAAAACTGCCAAATAATTATAATAATACTGCATTCTTAATGAGAGAAATATCTGTCACCACAGATGAAAAGTCACTACATCAAGTTGGATCAGTTCAAAAAGTTTTTCTAAGAGGTAGAACAAAATGCCAGGGTTTGCAAAAATGGTCCAGTTTCCTTTACATTGACAAAAGACAGAAACATTGGGATATCACTTGAAATTTCTAGATCTCTTGAGAAACCCATATTTTACCAGAGTAACTACCATAAGAACACAACTTTTATTTTTCCTGGTCCATTTTCCATTGAAGCCTGTGGAACTGCAGCAGAAATAAGCTGTGTGACCTTGGCAATAGTGGCAATCAAAATAATAAAGCTCCAGCTGTTGCTTTATTAGAATCGTTTATTGTTGCAGACATCTCAGTAAGCAACAGGCTCAAACCCTGCCCTTCCAGAATGTAATTTATAGAGTTCAAAGAGGGGTGAGCATTGAGAAGGCGTAGGTGGAAAACATTTCCTCCTTTCTCTAGCTCAGGAGCAGTGAGGGCTTTCCTCCAAATAAATGTAGGACTCCCTGTAGGGTCTCAGTCTCATAAGTGACCACAGGACTCCAAGAGATCTTGCAGACATTATCAAAAACTGAAAGATCACTGAAAAGCAAGAAATAAATTTTGGACTCTAAACCACTCCTATTAGACCACTGGTGCCTTGTTTCAGCCCACATCACAATTGTGGGCCTGTTCCAGCAGCCAGCCTGACTCCCACCCTGACACTCCTGCTTGGACTAGGTTGCTCACCTATTTGATATTGCTTTGGAAGGTAAAGCACTTGGAGGGGTGTAGCAATGTATTTGCAAGGTCTAGGCCACTGTGTGCCCCAGCAAACCGTTCCTAGTTATTCTCGTCAATACCCTCTGGAATTTGTCAAGGTTACTAAGACCTAAATTGTGCTAAATTAAGAAAGAAGAGGCTGAGAAACAGACTACCAAGACCAGAAGAACTAGATAACAGAGCTAGATAACCAGACAACAGAGGGCTGTGAAACAGCTGGACTGTAACCAATCACACACTCTGAGAAGTGCATGCAGAACATGGGAACCAGATAGAGACACCAATCAAGAGATGCGTGATCAGCGTGTGCAGTAAAGTTAGAATGTATAAACAAGTACATAATATAAACAATAAGCAACTTTTATTTAATCATATTAGTTAGTTATCCAAGAGTCCTGATTTCCCACAGAGGGGCAAAAATCCCAAAGCAACTGTCTCCACTCTTTGACTCCTCCCTGCTGCTCCTGCAGGGCACTTCGGCGCCGTGTTTCCAAGGAAACCGCGCAGGATGCTCTGCCAGCAGGGATGCTGCCAGAGCAGCCAGCACTCTAGGAAAGGTTCTGAGCCACCAGCATGTCCACAGGATGAACAGAGGAAACAGGAGTGCAACAGCAGAATTTGTGCTGTGATACTGGGAGGCAAGAGAGCAGCAGGCTCTCCCCAGATACCACTGGCATTTTTATCCCCACCCCAAAACATGCAGCTTTTCCTTCTTCCTTCCCTCCTCCCAGTGACAGCCCTGAGAGATGTTTCACTCTCAACAGACATTTATAGATGTTCTCTGCCAGAGCAGTTCAGGTACAGCTCTCTGCAGGTAAAACACCCAAAACAGTGGCCGAGTTAAAGGCCTTCCCTCTGCACCTTCCCCTTCCTGGGGGAAAAACCCTTTCCCAACCAATTATGCTGGGGGTTAGATCAGAAGTTATTCAAAGATGAGGAAAGCAGTCTAATAATAAAAGCAGCAGATATTGACTATTCAAGGACACTCGTACTGGTTTGCAACAAGACAGGGCCCCTATCTTAAGAGTTTTTCCTTTAATTGATCTGAACTTGGCCATAAGAAAAAGTGGAGAAAAAGTTCATGGGATTGAAAACACCACTAAGAAGAGCACAATTTTTTCTATCACAAGTACGTTGCCATCTTACTGCAGGGGTTCTAAACAGTTGTCTCCTTATCACAAAAGTTCCATACCTTCTTGGTGTTTCTCGTGGGCAGCTCTCAGAGCACTGACTCTTTCTCCTTCACAAAGCAGCCAACTGACTGCAGATCCCTTCTCACCCAGCCACCCCACTCTTTTATAGCACTCTTCTTCTCATTGCTTACAGCTGTGGCCTGTTAAAGTCAGGCCTGTTCCTAAATCTTTGCTAATTGGCCCAGCTGCAACTCCTTAGGGGTAAGATTACTTTCTGCACTATCTTTATTTTCTTATATTCTATCCCCCTACACCAAGTATATCCAAAATATCTGCCATACCAAATGATGCTCCAGAAAATAATCACATTAAAAGATAAAAATATTCTTCATACCACAAACTGTGAAGTCTCAGTAACTTATTTTACTTACTCCTGTTTCCCCTCAGAAAATGGAGATTCATCAAAACTAGATTGTCTATTAAATACAGAAAATTAAAATGGTGACAAGTGAGAAGATTTTTCCAGCCTATGATATAATTGTTTAACATGACATTTCTTATTGCTTTCTTTGATCATTTCATTTGAGCCATAGGAAAGATGAAGTTCAGGGGTCCTCCTCCAAATCATGCAGAGCAGGATTATGGATTCTAAAAAATGTACCAAAAATGGGATAAAGAAATAGAAATTTTTCTCTATTACCTGTTTGATCATTGATTCTGATAAAGGGTTATAAAAACTCACAAAAGTGAGATCTGCAGGTATGTCCCACCCAAGAATTCAGAAGAAACTACAATTATCCTTTTCATATCTTTGCAAATCGATGGTAAAAACATTGATGCTTCATTTGAAGGGATAAACTGTGAGGATCAACAG